GACAGTTCTTGGCAGGGCAAGGAGGATCGCTGCGCTCTTCAACAAAACAACAAGAAAAAGGGCCTCGATGCTTGGAAGTGATGTTTTACGGAGCACTGCTTGAGGCTGAGCCCTTGCCGCACCAAGGGGCTGTGTCGGTGTCACCACTGCGGTGGCTGAGACAGGGCCCTGGGTGGCCCGGGGGTGTCAGGACGCAGCTCGGAGCAGTCCCACGGGGAGCCAGGACATGAGAGCCGCAGAGGACAGGGACAGGATGGGGATGGGACATGATAGGGGGCACGGGCAGACCTACTTTTGCACTTCCCCTGGTACATCACTTCCAGGTCAGGGTGGTCGCGGCACTTGGCTGTCAGCAGCTCGCACTCATCGCGGTAGGTGAAGCCGTCGGAGCCGCAGACCTGCAGCTTGCGGGGGAGGCTGGAGCAGTCGGGGGCACAGGCGCACTGCGGCCGCCCATGCTTCATCCTGCAGACCTTGTCGGGGCCGCACACCACCCCCTCGCAGCTCTCTGGGGACACAGGGGAGCAGTGCATCAGAACATGGAACAAGGGATGGACCCACCGAGCAGCACCGACCAGGGCCAGCATTGGCCCCCCAGTCCCAGTTTCCCCCTGGACTCCCAATGTGTGCGTCGACACCAAGCGGCCCCGCACAGCATCTGGATCTGCTCAGCCCTGAGAAGCAGGTCCTTGGCTCGGCCAGCGCTCGCCCCCGCCAGCGCCCCGGCCCCATGCTCAGCACCAGCTCACTCCTTCCCATCTATTTGTTTTTCGGAAGGAGACATTTCTGTTTCTTGTGCAATGGAAAAATCTCTCCCCGCAAGGCCTCGACTCCTCCAGAAGGAGCTGGGCTCTGGGTGCTGGGGACACCAGACAATGCCCAGCCCTGTTCTGCTCCGGGCTCTGTGGCTCCAGCATGGGAGCAGGACACGGCTGTGGCGCTAAGCCCTGGACAGGCATCCGCTTTGTCCCCGGTTGCATCCCGGCCAGCGTGCGGGGGGATTCAGAGGGTCTCAGCAGTGCCCAGG